AAGTTATAAATATAGCCTCGAAAGCGCACTTATAGATTACAATACGATTATCGTAATTTGGGCCGTATGGCAGTAATAAAGAATTTTACTTATTCACTGATCATTGTAAGTAAAATTTACAGCTTAGCTGGAACATAGATATAGGTACCTAAAACTTTAGTCCCTCTAGTTGCCTAAGGGGAAGGACTAACTATAATTAAAATTTACAAATAGATTTAAGTTGTCCTCATGATTCCACTAAGGTTCATCTTTCCTTGCCTCCTTAAAGATATTCTCGTTTAGGTCGGACTGCCAGTTTAACCTTGCCTGTGTCTTAACTTCCCTCATCCTATAGGGTAATACTTAAGAGGTACACTATATACTGAAAAGGAAAGCGTTTTGAAAGGCAAAAATAAATGAAATTTAATGGCCTTTTGGGACCTAATTATAGGGAAATTCAACTATTTACCCTTCATCACCTAATGTTAGTGAGATATAATTGGCTATTCTAAAATTTTTTTAAGAGTAAGTGGCAATTACCTATTTTTTAGCGTATTAAAATATTGCTACAACTTTTTATAACGTGAAAATATGGTTTCGAAGATGTATTAAGCAACTATGTGCTTGTCATCCGTTAAGAATATTAAGAAGACAGAAGACAAGCTTGGCCTTACATTGGTAAAAATTAGCATAGCAATTTCAAATAATGTGTATTGCGAATGTGTAGGTTCAGATACTTAGCACTACTAAATTAGTATAATAGAACAATGGTATTTTGAGTAGCTTAATAAATTGTATAAAAGCTATTTTATTTTGTGATGTTAAAAATCCACAGCTAGAATAACTAACTTTGATGAATTTCCGTCGGATCCTTCTAAATTTATTATATGAAATAATGTAATCGTTTTCAAGCTATGTCAAACAGAAATTAAAATATAGGAATAATTGTAGAAAAATTTTGCTTTATTGTAAATTATATATTAACTTTAGTTTGTATTCTGTTTGCTCTTCTAAAAGTCCTGAATATTGAGTGTTTTTCTTAATCACTTATATTAATATTTCTATTCGTTCTTACTTTGGATGTTGCCTTTTCTGCGTCTTGTGTTTATTTGAGTATTAAGATAATGACATTTTTATTCACTTTTTGATAAGATTTTTTATATTTGTCTCGGAACCAATATTTCTTATTTGCTATGCTAGAGCAGCAAGTTATAAAGTACGACAATCTTCACTTAAATACTTTACGACACGACATTAATACGAACAGAAATTCTCCTGTTATGGAAGAAAAGGACAGGACTGAGCACGATATTACCTTCGGAATAAGTGTGAACCGCAATCTTCCGTCTCTTCCTTCCGATTTCTATCAAATCTCAAATCACATATCCAGACACCATCAGGCAATGGGCACTAATGAAGCCTATATTTACACAAAACCTGGATCTCCAGATGATCTTTCACATGGATTATCTCTTTCTCATTTTTCATCTCACCTTACTATTAATTCATCTTCTCCTTGTGGGATTTTTCCTAGTGGCTCTGGATTAAACCAAAGCAATCAAAATTTTTCTGGCGTTACGGATAGCTCCGAAGGTCATGTTGTACGGACAAGACGTCGCAAAGCTGGCATAAGTGATGAGGAGAGAGTTTGCATTGTTTGTGGAGAGCCCGCCTCAGGGTACAATTTCGACCGCTTGACTTGCGAAAGTTGTAAAGCGTTCTTTCGCCGCAATGCCCTAAAACCCAGAGATAAAGTAAATTTTACAGCTCCTCCGCATTACTAAGTGTTAATTGCCGTTTTATAATGCCATTTTTAATTTTTATGCATGGATTATTTGTCTATTCTTAATGGTAACAAAACTATTCCCGCGCAAATTTTTAACCCTCTAAATTTTAATAACATTGTCATGTTTATGTTACATTTAGAGCTAACATCTTGCATCTCTGGATTTCGCTTAGACTGCGGATATTCAAAGTCATATATACTTACTTTAATTGGATTGCATTTATTTTTATGATTGTTAGAATATAGCCATTGCAAGAATTATATACACGTTTGTATATAACTGATGAATTGTATACAATGCTAACTAAAGTGCATTTGTTTCATGTCTAGATATCAAGCTCTGCGTTGACATGCTTTTAAGTATTTGCCTGTGAATGGGGACGTAGTATTTGATCCTTCCTTCCTAACGGATTATGTAGGGAACCTGCTTTCTACGCATCCTTGTTTTGTCTTGTCATGATTCACTACGTTTGATTTTATTTGCGCCTTAATTATTCTTATATTGGCTAGTGTAACTGTTTAACCTATCAAATTCCGTACCACCGGCATAAAGCGCCTTATTGGATCTTGTAATAAATGATGAGCTGAAATACAATTAATTAAATACGATCGAAATTAGGCTCTTTATCACTTGTAATGCAAGCATTATGCATGAGCATTATCCTAAATTTTGGTCTATCATCACGTTGGCTTAGTGCATCAGCACAATATTTTTAATACGTATATATATTTCTGCTTAGATTTTACTTGGTACATTTACACTAGTCTCTTAATTATTACTTTCAAGTCAGAAATTGAGATTATAATGGGGTCTGATGTGTATAATCTTACAATAGTCTTGCTGAGGTTATTAGGCTCCACAGCAAGAAAACCTAGTCATTTTTCTTTTAATTTTGCTTAAACTCGATTTTTCGCCGCATTTTCAATGCAAAACAGAAATAACAGGAATAACTCGCAAACGATTTATGCTAGAAATTGTAGAAAATTACTCTTTAAGACTGTGAATGCACTTATCTATTATCTTATGCTTCTATCATTCCCTGCTTGATTCCCTATTTGATTTACCAATTGATTCTTAAGCAAGTCATTTAATTTCATCTCTTATCTGCACAGTTCCTATTTTTTATTGGAGCACAAACCACTTGGACTGAA